CTTTCTGTTTAGGAAGTTTCTTTTAAAAAAATTTTTTTTCAACGTTTATTTATTTTTGGGACAGAGAGAGACAGAGCATGAACGGGGGAGGGGCAGAGAGAGAGGGAGACACAGAATCGGAAACAGGATCCAGGCTCTGAGCCATCAGCCCAGAGCCCGACGCGGGGCTCGAACTCACGGACCGGGAGATCGTGACCTGGCTGAAGTCCGACGCTTAACCGACTGCGCCACCCAGGCGCCCCATGAAGTTTCTTTTTATAAATAGGCATGTGGAAACTTCTTATTTAATTTTAAAATACTTGACTATTTAATACTTTTGTCCTAGAATATGTATTTACAACTTATGAAGTATTGATATTATGCTAAATTATTTATGGAATGCTGATTATGATTATATCCCCCAAATTCTATCAAATCCACTAAAGTGGATTAAAGTGGAATGAGAGGTTATATTAATCTGTTCAGTTGAAATTAATTTGCTCTTTATGTATGTTTTTATGGCCCATTATTTAAACAACTACAAACATATTTTGAATAGCATATAGTGGTTCCAGGAGGATAAGGGTATCTTTTTATCATTGCTGAATCATCTACTGGTTTATTGTGCCAAATAATTTCTACGATAGACACTCAAAGCATAGATGTTAAAATCGAGAATGTAATTTGAGTGCGTTGTTCAATGTGAATAAACCTTCATATCTTTTGTAGAATGGTTATAATTTCAGTTATTAACATTGTTAAAAAGACTCTTCAAAAGGTGCATTTTGAATATACCTATACTTATCTCTATTATTTGTTCACTTATTTTTCCATTCTTCTACATCCAAAAAAATGTGAAAGGAGGGTATCTTCATTACTTGTTGAATTTATCAAACCTGTTTATGAACTGCAGTTTTGCTCTGGTATAGCTTAACTCATGGACTTTATACCTTGTTCTAGTAAGATTTTAGTGAGATATATTGAGATATTAGGTTATCTGTATGAACACTCTTCTTTGAGTACTCTCTGATCATCCTCCAATAGGATTAGATTCCCTGAAACTATATTTCTGGAACATGACTCTATCTCCCCTATGTAGAATGGATAGAGTCTGACACATAAACTAGAGAGTTGGTTGTTATGGACTGAACCCCCAAAATTCATATGTTGAAATACCATCTCACTGTCATGATAGGAAGCAGTAGGGCCTTGGAGAGGTGATTAAGTCATGGGAGTGGAGCCCTCATGAGTGGGATTAGTGGACTTATAAAACAGACCCAAGAGTGCTCTTATTCCTTTTGCCATAGCAAAGACAAAACAGAAGAAACTCACCTGTCTATGAATCAGGACATGGGCCCTCACCAGATGCAGAATCTGTTGTTGGCAAGTGGGTGTTAGACATCATAGTCTCCAGAACTGTGAGAAATAAATGAATGTTCTTTAAGCTACCCAGTCTTTGCTGATTTGTTGTTGTTGTTGTTGTTGTTGTTGTTGTTGTTGTTGTTGTTTCAGTCTGAACTAAGACAGCTATCCTAATAGGTTTTGATTTCTGGGGAAGATGGAAGGTCAGAGGTCAGGCTGGCTGGAGGGGTGAGAAAGTACTAGAGGAACAAATGCAGGGGCCACGTAGTAGCCTCTGTAGAACAAATAGTTGTGATATCCCATGACCAGCCACATAATAAACACTGATGACTGTAAATATTTTTATTTTTTATTTTTTTTAGTGTTTATTTTTGAGACAGAGACAGAATGCAAGTGGGTTAGGGATAGAGAGAGGGTGAGATAGAGAATCTGAAGCAGGCTCCAGGCTCCAAGCTGTCAGCACAGAGCCCAACGCAGGGCTCAAACTCACAAGCTGTGAGATCATAACCTGAGCCGAAGTTGGACACTCAACCGACTGAGCCACCCAGGCGCCCCTGTAAATATTTTTAAATGTTTATTTATTTATTTTGAGAGAGAGAGAGAGAGAGCTGGGGAGGGGCAGAGAGAGGGAAAGAGAGAATCCCTAGAAGGCTCCAAGCTGTTAGTGCAGAGCCTGACATGGGGCTTGATCTCACAAACAGATCATGATCTGAGCCAAAATCAAGAATTGGACACTTAACTGACTAAGCCACCCAGGAGACCCTGAAGGTTGTAAATTTTAATCTGTATTTGCAACCTAGTTTGGGGGGTTTTAGAGAGCATGCATAAAGTTTAGGTGCCTACTCACTGATTTTGTAATTTTAGATTATCAAAATATACATTTCTAAAATGTAAATTTTAGTTCAAGATAGGGCTTGTTTGGAAACCAGAAAAAAAATTTATAAAATATTGTTGGCACTATTTATGGTTTTATTATGAAATAAAGTTGTTACTAAGCCTAGTTATGTTCTCCAAAACTGACATTATCAAATGAAGTTCACCATAGCTAGAAACTTTATAAGAAATACAAAACTGTACAATTAGTGTTTTTTAAAATATTAGTTAATGTTATTAATAAAGTAAGAATACTTCATGTTAACCAAATGGTTATAAATGACAATGGAAGTGCAACTGACATTAATTTCTGACTTTGCTAATAACTTTCTTCCCAAAATGTTTCCATCTTATGGATTTGGTATGTTTTTAACCTTTGGCAGCATGGGTGTTTGAGAGTAAAGTTGTGACATTTTTTTGAGGCTTATAAACGTTCAGGAAGTTCAGTCTTTAAGCAAGACAGTTATTTTTTTTCAAATACATTTGGCTCTTTTTCTGATTCAGAGTACCTCTTTGGTGTGTTTAGTGTAACAAAAGTCTTTCTACATCACATGACTTAATGTCCAGTATGGAAAGTATGCTTATGCTTCACTTCAGAAACAAAAACAGACCTTACATGAAAGTGATTAATTCGATTAAAAAAATGAAGAAATCAAAATATATGTTTACCCTGCATTCCTTTTTTTCTCTTTTTATTCCTATTTTTGTGCTTTTTGTGAAACATTTTAATTAGGCATCTCTGAAGTACAGTAACTTATATGATATAATCTCTCAATATGAAAAGGTCATGCCTAAATAGGCAAGTGGGTGAACCTGATTTGAATCTCATCCTAAAAATGTCAAGAGATGTTTCTAGAGGACTTATAATTTTTCTCCATATATTTTCTTTGTGAAAGATTTATTATTATTACATAGAACTTTTACAGCATAAAGTGGTAGCATCATGACAAAACACTCAAAAACAAATGAACCAAATCTATTCATTTGTCAACTTTAAAATCAGATGTAGTAGGAAAAGACTCTCCGACTTCAGATGATAATTACTTGATGGTGTTTAAATTGTTGCTCATTTTCCACTGAGGGATAGGGTGAAAGACCAGTTTAGTATTGTAATCTTTCCCAGTGTTACTACCTACAAACTCATGCATTTGGGAGGAATTTTTAACAGTCACCTCTTCACTTTATTTTAGCTCATTTCTTTCAGTTCAGTATGGTTTAATGTAAATTAGTTCATTTTTCCAGTAATATGTTAGAAACCATGTAGAAAGGAACAATGAGCAAATTTTAGTACAATGTACACAAAAGACTTGAGTTTTTATTTCAACTACACATAGAGGGCATGTATCTCAAACACTCCTGTCCTGGTAACTGTACCTGCTTTTCCCTCCAGGAGATCACACATCAGTTCCTCCTAGCTCACATGTTTTTTTGTGGCATTTACTTCACATACATCCAGATCCGCACAGTACATTGCATTTTTCAGGCTACCATGCTGGGCTTAAGATGGCAACAAAGCCAGTGAGAACAATAAAACAAAATGAGTTTGGTTCCACATGTGGGGAAAGCATCTCACTATTTTGATTGGCTTTAAACCTGGGCACTTCTAGCAGCTGTCTTGAAGCCCATCTGAGAATGAAATCATATAGAGGAAGTGTATTGGAGAAATAGAGAAACCAGCTTGTGATACGATTTGAGCTCTGGGTTGAGCCCAGACCTGAGGTTTTGAACAAATGAATTACATGATCTGGAATTTTCCCTTTATTTGCTTAAATCACTTTGAGCTGGGTTTCTGTTATTAGCAAAGCAACCTATTTTAAGAGATACACTAGGTGTAAAAACACTGAAATAATTTGAGAGTAAAGGTCAGAATTAAGAAGGATTAATTAATTAGTAACTTTTCCTTGAAGAACAAGAATCCGGAGCTCAACCACTTACCTTTGTTGTAGACAACTTATAGTTGGGTCTTGTTTTTATTAATCTGCCTTGACAGTCTCTTTGAATTGGTATATTTAGACCACTCACATTAAAGTGATTAATGATATAATGAGAGTAATGTCTACCATATTTGTAACTGTATATCAGGTAAAAAGAATTGAGGTATATAGGTCTTTAGTGTGAATTTTGGTTGTTTGTTTTTAATTGGATACGAGTTAGGCCACATTTATTGTTTGTGGGGGCTGTACTGTCAGAGTCTACAATTCCCTCTAGCATCCTTGTTTCTGACTCTTCTCTTTGAAGTTTTTGAAAGATTCCTTAAATGGAGTCTGAGGCTTGCAGTTCTTCTAGCCACAATCCCTTGTTATTACACTGGGGCCCTATTGATGCAGCGGTAAGGTGTGAGGGAAGGGAAGCATGCTATAGTCCTATGATTAGATATGTCTTTTTTTTTTAATTAATGTTTATTTATTTGGGGAGAGGGAGAAAGGAGAGGCAGAGAGAAAGGGAGATTCTCAAGCAGGCTCCATGCTGTCAGTGCAGCCCCCACACAGGGCTCAATCTCAGGAACTGTGAGATCATGACCTGAGCCAAAATCAAGAGTTGGACGCCTAACCGACTAAGCGACCCAGGCACCCCAGGTGTCAGTCTTTAAATGAACCTGAGTTGGGTATTTATCTTCCCTCAGGTTGATTAATCTTTAGTAAACCTCAGCAGGTTAAGCTCTGGTAAACAAGTTTTCTTGAGGGTGGGCCTTATTAAGAAGATTGGAGAGCTCTGAATATATGGTTACTTTTCTTCTCCTTCTGTCTCAAGTACAGAGGGATTTTTCTCTATTTTTTACAGTGAGAGCAATAGGCCAGCTGGAGGCAAAACTCACAAGAATGTGGGGGCCCCTACTATTGGATGTCTTTGGAGCTTTTCACTCTGAACTAGCCTGAGTCCACACCAATTGATCAATTATCAATAAATTTGGCCTACTGATGTTGGCTTCAGCTGCAGGCTGCTGCTTCTGGGTTTTGCTTCTGGTAAGCTGTGATTCTCTGGATCTGCTGGTCTCTCTTCCAGATTTTGGGCACTAGTTTGCCTCAATTCTCAATTCTCTAAGAGTCTCAGGAGAGTTGTTGAATTTTGCTTATCTGTTTTCTTGTGAGGATATTAGCTATTTGCATGTCAGACCAGAAACTACAATTCTTTAACTACTTATCTTTCCAACAATTAATTTCTCCTATTTTCAGAAACTATAAAGGAGCCTTGGCCACAAAAATCTCCATAGTAGAAGATTATACTCATTGAAAGAAGCTTTGATTCTTATGCATCCTAAAGGTAAGCTTAGATTTACATTCACTAAATATTATTCTGTGCCAGGAAGCTGGGGAGATGTTTGTGTGTTTATTTTGTGGTCTAAGTTTTGTGACCCAAATATGAGGCTGTATGGAGTTTAAAAGGATGGATTCCAGAAACACGTTCAGTGAGTTTGAATCCCAGGTCCAGCACTTAGTGCTGGGTTGGTCCTTGGTGAGTTACTTCAGCCTTTCTGTGTCTCAGTTTCTTTATCTGTGAAAGTAGGGTTAATAGTGCCTATTCTGAGAATTAAATTACATGATAGCATTATTACAATAATACAACATCTCTTAAATTTTGCTTTCCTTCTGCCAACCAGTAATTCATTTTTTACTAATTCAAAGCGCTTCTTTACTAAGGTTTTTGAGAGTTTTGTCCCTGGAAGCAGCCCAATATATTCCTTTTAGTGATTCTGATAATTGAAATAACAACTAAATCAGGGGCACCTGGGTGGCTCAGGCGATTAAGCATCTAGCTCTTGATTTTGGCTAAAGTCATGATCTCACTGTTTGTGAGTTTTAGCCCCATATCAGGTTCCACTCTGACAGAACAGAGCTTGCTTGGGATTTTATCTCTTTCTCTGCCCCTCTCCACACCCTGCCCCTCTCCACACCCTGCCCCAATCTCTCTCTCTCTCTCTCTCTCTCTCTCTCAAAGAATAAATAATTTTAAAAATACATTATTAAATAACAAGCACTCTCTACCCTTTGAAGATTAACAATATTCTTGAGTGAAATTTTATTCTAATATATAAGAACTTTACCAATTTTTGTAAAAGGATATCCAGGAAGATTTCCTATATTACTAGAGAAAGTTGTTTTGATATCATGTAATGATATGGTTGGTTATTGTGTATCTGTTATTCAGTACAGCTTCTGTGACTTTAATCAGATCACACATTTTTTTTGGACCCATAAAGTGACAGGCCAATGACTATTCAGTGTTGTCAGTGAGAATAAATGCTATGCTGATAAGCAGATATGCCACTGAACATCAAACCAAAGGAGATGAATAGATCAACCACATAATCTTAGACTCTAGCTGCAAGATCTTAAAAACAATAAGGACAATAGATATTTCCAAGGGAAACCAGTCCATAAAATACAGAGCCACATTTTGAAATTTCTGTATGAATCCTCATATTATATAACATGGAATTGGTCTATTCAATAATAAAAATTGCAGTAAGAACCTGAAGTAGTAATGTTAATGATAAGGAAACCATTGTTATTTTCAAAATTGGGCCATTACCAAAGAAGGAAGGACATGGAAATGCACTATTTCAATAATCCTTGAAAGTAATGCTGTTGTTGAGAGGGTTTGTGGACTTGTGTATGTGTTTTCCATTATCTGATTAATCGGGTAGGTGATTGTGTTTCACTGTCTTAAAAATTATATTTCAATATCTTAAAAATGCCAGGTATCTAAAATCTTCTTTAGTTAGCATTTATTTAATAAAGGGTAGAAATATAATTCATTTCTAGTGTGTGCTTTGTATTCTGTCAACATAGTATCACAACAGAGAAGCAGCATTATTTTTCATATTTTGCAAACAGGGACTGAGAGTCATGGACATTAGGCTTATATGATGAATAGATGACCGATCATTCATAGACCAGGTTATCCATACAATATGACTTAAAATGTCTTGTCCTGTCCACATTACAGTGCCAGATATCTGATGTATCATAGAATTTCATGTTTCAAGAGCTTTTTAAAATCATCCCATCCAGCCACCCATCTTATGCCTAGTTTGAGATCTATCAGCTGGGTATTTATTTATTTATTTATTTATTTATTTTCAATATATGAAATTTAGTGTCATATTGGTTTCCATACAACACCCAGTGCTCATCCCAAAAGGTGCCCTCCTTAATACCCATCACCCACCCTCCCCTCCCTCCCACCCCCCCATCAACCCTCAGTTTGTTCTCAGTTTTTAACAGTCTCTTATGCTTTGGCTCTCTCCCACTCTAACCTCTTTTTTTTTTTCCTTCCCCTCCCCCATGGGTTTCTGTTAAGTTTCTCAGGATCCACATAAGAGTGAACCCATATGGTATCTGTCTTTCTCTGTATGACTTATTTCACTTAGCATAACACTCTCCAGTTCCATCCATGTTGCTACAAAAGGCCATATTTCATTCTTTCTCATTGCCATGTAGTACTCCATTGTGTATATAAACCACAATTTCTTTATCCATCCATCAGTTGATGGACATTTCGGCTCTTTCCATCATTTGGCTATTGTTGAGAGTGCTGCTATAAACATTGGGGTACAAGTGCCCCTATACATCAGTACTCCTGTATCCCTTGGGTAAATTCCTAGCAGTGCTATTGCTGGGTCATAGGGTAGGTCTATTTTTAATTTTCTAAGGAACCTCCACACTGTTTTCCAGAGTGGCTGCACCAGTTTGCATTCCCACCAACAGTGCAAGAGGGTTCCCGTTTCCCCACATCTGTCCAGCATCTATAGTCTCCTGATTTGTTCATTTTGGCCACTCTGACTGGCGTGAGGTGATATCTGAGTGTGGTTTTGATTTGTATTTCCCTGATGAGGAGCGACGTTGAGCATCTTTTCATGTGCCTGTTGGCCATCCGGATGTCTTCTTTAGAGAAGTGTCTATTCATGTTTTCTGCCCATTTCTTCACTGGGTTATTTGTTTTTCGGGTGTGGAGTTTGGTGAGCTCTTTATAGATTTTGGAGACTAGCCCTGTGTCCGATATGTCATTTGCAAATATCTTTTCCCATTCCGTTGGTTGCCTTTTAGTTTTGTTGGTTGTTTCCTTTGCTGTGCAGAAGCTTTTTATCTTCCTAAGGTCCCAGTAGTTCATTTTTGCTTTTAATTCCCTTGCCTTTGGGGATGTGTCAAGTAAGAGATTGCTACGGCTGAGGTCAGAGAGGTCTTGTCCTGCTTTCTCCTCTAGGGTTTTGATGGTTTCCTGTCTCACATTCAGGTCCTTTATCCATTTTGAGTTTATTTTTGTGAATGGTGTGAGAAAGTGGTCTAGTTTCAACCTTCTGCATGTTGCTGTCCAGTTCTCCCAGCACCATTTGTTAAAGAGACTGTCTTTTTTCCATTGGATGTTCTTTCCTGCTTTGTCAAAGATGAGTTGGCCATACGTTTGTGGGTCTAGTTCTGGGGTTTCTATTCTATTCCATTGGTCTATGTGTCTGTTTTTGTGCCAATACCATGCTGTCTTGATGATTACAGCTTTGTAGTAGAGGCCAAAGTCTGGGATTGTGATGCCTCCTGCTTTGGTCTTCTTCAAAATTACTTTGGCTATTCGGGGCCTTTTGTGGTTCCATATGAATTTTAGGATTGCTTGTTCTAGTTTCGAGAAGAATGCTAGTGCAATTTTGATTGGGATTGCATTGAATGTGTAGATAGCTTTGGGTAGTGACATTTTGACAATATTTATTCTTCCAGTCCATGAGGACAGAATGTTTTTCCATTTATTTATATCTTCTTCAATTTCCTTCATAAGCTTTCTATAGTTTTCAGCATACAGATCTTTTACATCTTTGGTTAGACTTATCCCTAGGTATTTTATGCTTCTTGTCCAATTGGGAATGGGATCAGTTTCTTTATTTGCCTTTCTGTTGCTTCATTATTAGTTTGTAAGAATGCAACTGATTTCTGTACATTGATTTTGTATCCTGCAACTTTGCTAAATTCATGTATCAGTTCTTAGCAGACTTCTGGTGGAGTCTGTCAGATTTTCCATGTATAATATCATGTCATCTGCAAAAAATGAAAGCTTAACTTCATCTTTGCCAATGTTGATTCCTTTGATTTCCTTTTGTTGTCTGATTGCTGATGCTAGAACTTCCAACACTATGTTAAAGAACAGAGGTGAGAGTGGACTTCTCTGTTGTGTTCCTGACCTCAGGGGGAAAGCTCTCAGTTTTTCCCCATTGAGGATAATGTTAGCTGTGGGCTTTTCATAAATGAATTTTATGATCTTTAAGTATGTTCCTTCTATCCCGACTTTCTTGAGGGTTTTTATTAAGAAAGGATCCTGAATTTTGTCAAATGCCTTTTCTGCATCGATTGACAGGATCATATGGTTCTTATCTTTTATTAATGTGATGTATCATGTTGATTGATTTGCGAATGTTGAACCAGCCCTGCATCCCAGGAATGAATCCCACTTGATCATGGTGAATAATTCTTTTTATATGCTGTTGAATTCGATTTGCTAGTATCTTATTGAGAATTTTTGCATCCATATTCATCAGGGATATTTGCCTGTACTCTTTTTTGGCCGAGTCTCTGTCTGGTTTAGGGATCAAAGTAATACTGGCTTCATAGAATAAGTCAGGAAGTTTTCCTTCCCTTTCTATTTTTTTGGAATAGCTTGAGAAGGATAGGTATTATCCCTGCTTTAAATATCTGGTAGAACTCCCCTGGGAAGCCATCTGGTCCTGGACTCTTATTTTTTGGGAGATTTTTGATAACTGATTCAATTTCTTTGCTGGTTATGGGTCTGTTCAAGCTTTCTATCTTCCTGATTGAGTTTTGGAAGAGTGTGGGTGTTTAGGAATTTGTCCATTGCTTCCAGGTTGTCCAGTTTGTTGGTATATAATTTTTCATAGTATTCCCTGATAATTGCTTGTAACTCTGAGGGATGGGTTGTAATAATTCCATTTTCATTCATGATTTTATCTATTTGGGTCATCTCCCTTTTCTTTTTGAGAAGCCTGGCTAGAGGTTTGTCAATTTTGTTTATTTTTTCAAAAAACCAACTCTTGGTTTCGTTGATCTGCTCTAAGTTTTTTAAGATTCTATATTGTTTATTTCTGCTCTTATCTTTATTCTTTCTCTTCTTCTGCTGGGTTTAGGCTGTCTTTGCTGTTCTGCTTCTATTTCCTTTAGGTGTGCTGTTAGATTTTGTATTTGGGATTTTTCTTGTTTCTTGAGATAGGCCTGGATTGCAATGTATTTTCCTCTCAGGACTGCCTTCGCTGAGTCCCAAAGCGT